GACTGTTGCAAAAGTAAAAGGCAAATGATCTTTTTGGTTGACAGATTGATCTTTTCCACTGTTTTTTATCATGATTTTTCCTCTGTATCGCTATTTTCTGATCCTGGGAAATTCATTGGGAGAAAAAGTATAAGGAAAAGCAGAGGATGTTACACCTAGGAAGGAGTAAAGACAGTGAAAGGGTCTTAGACCATCAGAGATTAATTTCCAAGAGGATAAACCACCTTGTGCCGCTAAGCTGCAGCAACTCCTTAGTGCTGGAAGCAAAACACCTTGGTGAAACGTAGAGAGTTCTCCTGGATGAGGACTAGGAAGCCCTGCACCTGACCTCTTCTGGCTTCAAGAGAGATTTGAAGAGAGAGACTAAAGTGCTCTTAGTCTTTTGAAGACTAAGGTGGAGACTGAGGTGCTCTTCCCTTGTCAAGTTGGTTCTTCCCTGTGTCGTGCTGCAATCTTATTCCTCAGTCATCTAAAAGCTGTGCTTGTTACTCCCTCCTGAGTCCAATCTTGGGCAAACCAGGTAGCCTCCCTGGTGAGAAACCTGTCCACAGAACAGAGGATGACTTCTTCCAGGGTCTACATGCCACTGGGACCATGCTGGGTTTTGGCCTCTTTGCTCAATACTTTGCATCAAAGTTATTCTAGGAGACCTTGCACCCTCACACTCCCCTTATGCCATCCCACATTGCCCTAGTACACTCAATATTAGAAGCCTGGTACAGTGGAAAGCATCCTGTGTGTTATTTGCCTTTCTCTCCTTGAAGTAAAGGTAGAGGGGCACCAGAAGACACCAAAGCTATAGTCTGTCCATGTCCCATCTGGGGTCTTGCATCTGGGAAAAATCTCCTGGCAGCAGTAGTAGAAAGTGAAGCAATGTAGCATAGCAAAAAACAGGGTGTCCAGCACAGCCACTTTGAATTCAAGAAATTCCTAGTTTTCTATATCATGCTGCCAAGCACCATGGTTTCTGACAGCATACCAAGGGTATAGACTAGGATTTGCCTTGAAAGTCTCTCCTGGAGTCCCTGGCATGGCGCAGCTCCCATGCCACAGCCCCTGCCTCCTCCGCAGCCATGGGCTGGAGCCAAGGACACGAGAGCAGCATCTCCTTGGGCCATGACATTCCCACAACTTCCATGGGAATGCCGCCCGGCTGCTCATCTCACTTCGTGTGCGTGGGAGGGAAATGTGCTTACAGGACATGTACCATAAGGGAGGATTTCAGCAGCAGAGAGGTGGGTGGTCACAGCAGAGACACAGCGGCTGGAGGTGGGGATCCATCCTGCACTCTCCCACTCCTTTCTGTCACATGTCATCCCCTGGCAAGGGGCAGCCTGGAGACGATGGTCCCCATCTCCTGTCTGGTGACAAACTCAGTCTAAATGGGTAACACTTCCACAGAGTGACCAGCTACATCCCACTTCTGCTTATTGGTGGTCAGGAGTTGTGTAAGAGCAATGACTGACCTGAAAAGCCCCTCCTGACACATATCCATACCTGACCATGCCTATGGCAAAACCCTCCCACTATCCTTGTGCACAAGGGAAGACACGGTTCCTCTTCCGAGATGGTACTGATCACGTTAAGATGAGCCCCTCATCCCTCTGCCTTCCCTCCAGCCCTGTACATGTGATGTCTGGGGTGGGAGACTCCAGATGACCCAGTAAAACAGAGAGCAGGAAGGATATGACAAGATCAGGAGGAGCAAACACCACGTGCTGATTCCCCTTCTCCTCCCAACTGAAGGATGCTCTGTGCTTTGTCTTTCTAAGGGGACTCTCACAGGACTCAGCTGGAAATGGTGCAGATAAAGCATTAACCATTCTGAACACAGCGAACAAAAAGCACTTTGAAAACTCTTAGAAAATGTGTGAAATGGTCTTTGAATGCTCAATTACTTTCTCTCCATTCTCACTGCAAGTTTAAAAACAAAAAACACAGCCATTACCCGATGTAGACAAGGAATGAATAAAGATGCGATATGCTAAGTGAGTTCCATGATAAAGACAGAAATGCTTGTAACACCATCCTTGTGTGTACTACTTTGTCTTTACTATACATATGATTCAGCTAGCTCGTCCTCAGACAAAATGCCCTCATGCATATCACGCACAAGCACGCAGAAAAAGTATAAAGAACTACAGAAAGAATAAAAAATTCAGCAGCACAGAGGTGGCATGCCCCAGCGACAAGCTCTTTCTTTAGATACCTAGTTCCTTTCATGCTTTTTCTTCTCTTTAAAAACATCTCCAAGTCCCATATATTTGACTCCAGGGTGAAACATCACCTCTCTTTAAAGCTTCTAAAACTGCAGAGGTGAGCCGGGTTGATAACCCCTGCAGATTTCTCTCATCAGTAGAAACCAGTCAAGGATCACAGGCTGGGACACGTCTGACACGAGCAGAATTTACCCAGCAGCCAGGGCTGAGAGCTCAGCTGGGGACACGTGGGGAGCAGCAGGAGGAGTTCGAAGAGTGACAAGACAGAGAGACGAGCAGGAGGACTGCCCCAGCCCTCATCCTGCCTGTGTGGTGGTCACCAACCATCACCATGCCCTGGTGGGATCCCAGGGGATGGCCAGGAAAGGCTTCAGGCAGGAGGACCCTGCACAGGGTGGCAGGAGCCCAGCGTGGCACCAGAGGTCTGCAGACCTGGGGGTTTTTCCTGGCTGCTCTAAAGCCTCCTTGCTGCACCGTCCTGGAAGAGTCACCTCCTGGCAAATAAAAGGCACGTCGTAGGCCAGATGGACTTGTGCTCTGGAGAGGAAAAGAAATTTTTCCTTCTTTTCTCGGGATTTTAAGAGCAAATTCTCAGCTTGGCTTCATAAGGCAGCTGTAGAGCGTGCACCCGTTCCTGTCTCATCTCAAGGGCCCAGCGCTCACTCTCCGAGGCTCCAGCTCCTCGTCCTCTTCCAGTCAAAGGTTTGCAGGTCACACACCTCTGCAGTAAGTCTCACACCAATAAAAGCTCTCATGAGCTGTTTTAACTCACAACTGGATCCCCTGGAATTATTTGGAAAATAAAAAAAAAGTGAACTCTGGGGAGTTTGCTGGCAACTGATTGGGGATATCTGGCTGTCTGCTTGTAAGGCACGTGCCTTGAATACATATTAAGCATTTTCTGCCGCTAACGATTAAGAGAAAAATAACGTTGACACTCATGGCCAGAATATTTGTGTTAGTTTTTCAGTCCTCTGCCCTAGAATAAGCAACTGGGACTCCAGGAAAAAAATGAATTTAAAAAAAACCAAAACGGAACGGAACGGGACTCCAGGAAAAAAATGAATTTAAAAAAAAAACAAAACAAAACGGAACGGAACGGAACGGAATAGAATAGAATAGAATAGAATAGAATAGAATAGAATAGAATAGAATAGAATCACAGCTCTATGCAGCCCTTCCAGAGAAATATGAGTTTTCTCTCTATTGATCTTAGCAACACCTTCCCACCCATTGTATTTTTATGTTTATGATAAATAGAGCCGCGCCTGCGCTGATATCAGTTACAGGTACTATAAAAGAACGGTAGTTTGTGTCGTAAAGGTTTTACAGTCTAAATAAAAACAAACAAACCATAAGAGAAGTAAATAAAGCCAGTTACTAGCCTAAGGTCATAAAGGGGTTCTGTGGCTTGGCTGGGAGAAGAGCACACGTCTTTTGGTACTTTACCAACCCTCTTGTCCCATCTCCCTAAACCATACTGGGTTTCACTATTTCTTGCTTTCCCACTTTCTTTTTTCCCTGGCAGGGATTCCCTGACAGCCTCAGCCATCCTCACTATGAAAATTACACCTTCTACTTGGAGCATGACTTTTAGATTTCTACTTTATCGAGAGCTACGCTGGAATATAGCAGTAAGAAGATTTCTAATAGTGTTCCTGAAGAGCAAGTGGTAAGAGCTGGCTGAATTTTTATTGATTATTCCCCCTCCCTGAGTGTGTATGTAGGGGCAGCAGACAGACTGGGACGTGAAAAGATATTTTTCTTTCTTTGGTATTATTTTGTAATAATCTGAAACATTTTTTCGGGGAGGTGGGGGAAACCAAACCTTGCTGCTCTTTTGCTAAAAAGTAAGTAAGTTTCCACTCTGTTTCTCTACGCAGGGAAAAAGGAGAAGTTTCTACACATCAGTCTGTGTGCGTGGATAAGTCGAAGAAAGTTTCGGTTTTGATGAGAACCATGTTTTCCCGGGGGCAAAAAATGTCCAATTTCAACAATCTGGGTAAGTTTACATGGCAACATCTCCACTGACAGCTCCTGCCAAACCTTGGCAAGGCCAGAGGGTGGGCTGGGATCAGGCAGGCAATGAATGGAGAAGGGACCCCCTTCCCGCTGGCCATCGGCTACCACCTGAGCGTGTTTCACCTCCGTCAGTTGCCGAGCAACTCCCGAAGTTGCCAAAAGGCAGCAGGGCCTTTTAATCGCGCATAGCAACTATCAAGAAAGCAAGAAAACATAAATCTTTCCCTAGTACCATAAAGTCACAGCTTTTCCAAGTCGTGATAACAGGCGACTGTAAAAGCACAATTAAAAGGAGAGTGGAGAAGATGAGCCCCGCAGTGACAGAGCACCCTGTTTTAGGCCTGTCCCTGGACTCTTTGGTCCATCAGGGACGTTGAGCAACCTGCAGCCCACCGCCAATCCTGCTAAAAGGTAGGTATGAAGCAACATTTCAGCGAATCAATCCCCCCCCACATACTTTTTGGGTTCACTTGTGATACCCTGGCCTTCCCTAAAAGATTCTTCCTTTTTCTCCTGGGGCCGCGCTGAAACTGCCGGGCTCTGGGATGCCACAGGCTCTCCTCCACCGCTGGCTCTCGCTCTCCCCCCTGCTTCTCACTTTCACTCCCATTGGTTTCATGTTCCCTTTGCCATGCGGAAAAGCTCTTGAGCTTATCCAGCCCAGCAGCAGGGTTTATCCTGGTTCCACCCACTGGGACTTTCCTAGCTTCCTTCTGCACGGCGAGGAGGGGAAAAAAAAAAGCCAGACGGAGGCAGGCAGCAGGCACCTCGGGGAGCCCGGGGAGCCGCGGTGCTCTCTTTCCCTGAGCTAGGTTTCTATTGTAGGCGGTGCATTCCTTGGGAGGGAGGGTGTGTGTGTGTCGGTGCCTTCCCACACTCGGGGCAGCTCTTATTTAATGGGGGTCTCCATGCAGGGCAGACGCCAGAATAGGTTTTGCCGTTCCCGGTTCCCATCCAGGAACAGCAGCAGCTGGAATGCCAGGCGCCGGCATGGACCGCGTGGTGGAGATAACCCTGGAGGAGGCGACTCCTGGATCCAACCAAGCCTCCAGGATGCACCTCCGGGAGGATTTGCGGAGGATACGGTGCGCGGTGCTGCTGTGCCTGCTCTCCGTCCTGGTCCTGGCGTTGCCCATTGCCTACCTACTGGTTGGAAACTTCCGAGCCCCCAGCTCCTGCGCCGGCCAGGTAAGAGACCGACTACGACTTCTGTCCTGCCACCCTGTGAGGAGAAAAGCACCGCGTCCCGCGTCTCCAGGGTTGGGTTTGTTTGGTTCTTCTATTCTCTTTAAGACTTTCTCAAGTTTAAAGGAACACGAGCAACTGGCTGCTACATTCCTTCTTCCTTACGCGAAGCAAATCTGCCCGGGATAAATCTTATTACTGTTTGGTCTTTTTAACTAACGGTTTCTGTTCCTCTTGTCTTAATTTCACTAAGGTCACAGTACAGTGTAGGAATTTAAAAACTTTTATTCACATGCTGCAGGGAAACGCTTAAGAAAAATTGCTAGCTGATGGAAATCAGTGTCCCTTCACTGATTTCAGACAGATTTTGACACTATGGCTCATTTTCCTCCCTTCTTTGGGGTTAACTCTGCAACTTCCCTTCCCAGTGTCCTATTTCAGCAAACATCTGCTGATGTCAGTGGGTCAGAGCCGGTCATCCACCACGGGGCAGACAGACACAGTTCTCCTATACTATTAATGCAAACTCCTGTAGAGATATAATTTGGGACAATTAAAGGGTCAGACCTTAAATTTCGCATCCTGCTTTTTACTCATCAAAACTTTCTCTGGATCAGGGGATCTGCTCAGCTCTTCTCCTTTGACAGATGGCTAAAATCTCCTTGCAATAAAGGCTGGATGGTGTGGCTGCTTCTAATGCTCTTCTCTGTCACCCTTCTCCTTGTGCCAGACTGCAAACAAGTGCCTATTTCTATGACAGAATATGAATTCAGCATATGAATGCCCCATGCGAGAGGGGTGCATGTCTGCATGTAGGTCTGAAGAGCTAAGGTTTGAATTTTAGCTCCAGGTTTGAAATTCCCCAGCTAATTAGCGTGTGTGTTATATGCTCACTTAGGAACAGCAAAGGAAATCAGTGTTACTAAGTGGCCTCGAAGGCAGATTTCTGACCTTGCACAGACGTAGCCTAGGGATGTTTAGGGACTGTGAGAGCTGTGCACATGCGCTCTCGGTGGCACGGAGCCCTCATTTGACCTCAGCTCTGCGCAGCAGACACTCAACCCATGCCAGCTCCTGGGTTCAGCATCTTCTGTGCTCCCTGCTTATGCCTTCATATATATATGCTTATACAAACATATATGCTTATGCTCCATATATGCTTATATATGGAGTATGTATAAGTATGGAGTATATACTCCATATAAAGCATATATGGAGTATAACCATATACACTCCATATATGCTTATATACTCCATATATGCTTATATAAACATATATGCTTATACCACCCAATGAAGTATCTCAGGCTGTTAAATCTACCCTTTTCTTGCCCATGTGAAAGTGCCTGTTTCTGTGCTGACCCTGCTACTGCTATTTGGTGGCTGCACAGGGAGCGAAGAGGCTCTTTGGCCAGTCTCAGCTGCATTGCCTTTTGTTTGCGTCCCATGAGGTTGTACAGAGCAGAGCCGTTCCGTTCTTGAAACGAGTGATAATAAAATATTGGCCCGTTTGATCGGAGTAATGTGTTTCCTGGCTCTTGACTCTGTTGGCAGAGTTAGCAGAGAGAAGTATTTGCGTGACTGGGTTTGGCTTCCTAAGAAGAAAAGCACGACGTAAGCCCTTAGGTTTGCTCCAGCCTGGGCTACGCTAGTGTGTACTTCCACGTATATGCAGCAGAGTTATGAGCACGTAGTATTCCCACAGTGATGTAACGGGGTGATCAGATGAGTTGTGGCCTCTGCGAGTCCCAGTGAGGAAGAGAAAAATCATCGGGGCTGGCCGGCCGCCCGCCGCCTTGGTGCCAAGCCCCGTGGGTGGAGCGCCCGGCTACGGCTCAGCTGCATCCTGCATTTTCTGAATTTTTTTCATTGCCTCTGCTGCGGACTGGCTGCACCACCAACGTTGTCCAGGGGCAGAGTGCAGATGGGTGAATCCCCCTGCCTGTGTTGCTTTTTGGTGGATTCCCCAAAGAGCCGGGTCATGGGCTGAGCCCGGGAGCTCAGTTCCTGGGGCTCGGCACGGCTGTAGGCTCCTTCAGTCCTTGGGAATATTTCTGGGCATAAAGACTCTTGGGAAAATGTCTTTTTGAATTTCCTCCTGCATTTGAAGTGTTAGAACCGGATTGCTGAAGGATGTTTTCCTCATGTTCCCCATTGACAGCCCAAATCAGGAGGACTAGGTTGGGACTAGATGTGTGTGCCAGAGCTCTCTGTGGCACTGGTTTTGGGGTGCAGGTGCCCTGAGCGTACTGGGAGAAAGCAGGCAGACCCAAGTTTGCACCTCACACGTATTGGCTTGCTGACCTTTGCGGCAGCGAGCCCACGGGAGGAGTCCTGAGTCCTCTCATTGCCCCAGGACCAGGGCTCAGCCCACACATGCCAGATTTCCAACGTCTCGAGTGCCGGGAGGAGGGAGGGACTTGGCAGCTGGGCAGGTGAGGAGCAGATGGAGTAAATTCCTGAGCCCATCCTTCCTGGAGAAAGGAGGAGGAGAAGGGAAGCTGGGGAAGGTTTGTGCAACCGGGGTGTGCCTCTTTGATTTGCCTGCGGGGTGAGGCAGTTTATTCATCTCTGGTTCTGTGTGGGTGCGCATGGTGTCACATTCTGCCTCTGAAAGGGATACAAACTCACCTTTTCCTCTGGAAATGTCCCTTTCAGGAAAAAGCAGGGTGTTATGTCATTGCAGCAACATGTGTGAGCCAACAGTTCTCCCTCTCTCTCTCACATGATATAATGAGTTTTGCATGAATAATTCAAATCCGACGATTTCCCTTGACACTTCCCAGGCTCACTACACTGCTTCCCTTTTGGAAATAGAAATCACTTTCTTTTGTGCTTTGAGACAGAGCAAGGTGAGGAAACAGGGTTCTTCTAGCAATAACACATGGCTTGCGTTATTAGGTGGAAATCTATAAAAGGCTCTAGTGGTGCCCTGCCAGAAGAAGGGCCAGGACTGCTGTGCATCCTTCCCCAGAAGGAAGCCAAGTTTCAGTCTGAGTGTGCAAATCTACCAAGGGAACAGCACAGCAGCCAGGAGAGCATCTCTGGCTACCTTAGCCACCTGCTCAGCTAGCCCAATACAGCAGAGCATCAAGTCCCCATGGCCTGGAGATGTTGGTACTGAGCCTTATTCTCATGGCATCCTTGGCATGGCAGGACCACAAGCAGCATCAAGGGGAATTCCACAACCTGTCCAAAGGATGGCACGTGGACCTGTGTGTCAGCCTTGCAATGGAGAAGGGAGCTGCTGCAGTAAGGGAGGGACTTTAAAGTCCTAGCAGCTCCACCTGGATCCCATCCAAAGGGATGAAGGCAGAAAGCTAGCAACAAAGCTCAGAGAAGGGCTGCCAGAACACGCAGAGCCAGAAGCCCTAACGGCCTGCCCAAATGGGAATTAGAAGCTGAAATGGCTTGCTGACCCCTAGGGATGGAAAAGCACCTGGGGAGGAGCTGTCAGCACCTCGGCCCAGGTGTGGGGGGTTCCCCTTCCAAAAGCCAGCAGCAGTAAAACCCCTGACTGGCCATTGCTTCTTGATGCACGTGGTCCTCATGGGCAGAGAAACCAGTGAGCACATGCCCTGGGTGCATGCTCACACTGGTCACTGGAGTCCAGCTGAAATACTCCAATTTTTACTGCCATGGGACAGGCTTCTGCCAAAAATGCCCAGACCATGCAGCATCTCTGGAGTGAGCAAAATTGTGGGTGTATGAACCGTGTATACGACCTGCAGAGAACCTGCCTGTAAAATAGCATCTTGTGCTAAAAACAGAGTGGATGGAGGTGCTGGGGATATTTTGCTTATTAATTTCTCTGCCTGCCATGCCAAGCTGCTTTTCCCTTGCAGTTCTCTATCGGATACCCCCGGCCCTTCCTGGGGGTGCGAGAGGCAAGGTGTGTGAACAGGGGATGTTCAGCCCTTCCCTTTGGCTTTAGCAATATATGGATGTAAATGCAGCGGGGCTTTTGGACATTCTTGGTATCAAAACAATATGGAAGTGTTTTGCATACCGCAGCCTTCAGGGTAATTAAGGGTGGTTGAACAAGACATCGTTTGTCTGCAAGTCAGCTCTAGGGTGGGATTTTCAACACCACTCAGTGATGGTTACAGTCTCTCCACAGTAACCAAAGGGAAAATTGAAGGCGTGCTGTGAATTTTTCAGAATAACAGCTAAGCAAGAAAGGAAAAGAGAGAAAAACACTAATTGTGTAAATGATTTCTCTATTGTCTCATGCTGCTTAGCTCTCCCTCAACCCCCTCATCTACACCTTCAATGTGCAACATCTGTGCCTACTTAGAACAAATATTACTAATACCCGGCCGTTATGTAGCACTGAGTAGTGCTAAAATATTTTCTATAGGGAGTTTAGATTTGTATCCTTATCAAACAGCACAATTATAGAAAAAAAAATATCTACTTATGCCAAGCAACAGAATAATTTCACACCTTTCAGAACCGTGTTTTATCTACTGCACCACACTGTCCTTGAGAATCTATGAATGCAGCTCCTGCACCTGGAGTTTCCATCTGGTGTTATTTAGAAACAAGTGAATTGAGGTGGCATAAAAAGCAAAGCTTCTTCACAGTTTTTAGTCAAAACCATTTTGTTATTTTTTTTATAAAGAAGCAGAATTCTTCTTTATATCCTTCCTGCTTTTCCATCATCTCTGTTTGTACTGTGACATCTGCATTTATATGAGGCACTTCAGCAGAAGCTAGGCTTTAAATATGTAAAAAGTCCCACTCAAGTTAAATGACAAAACGTAGGTTTGTGACTGATTTGTGGCTCATTGCAGTACTTAGCAGTGTTAGAAAATATGCCTCTCGATAAATATGTAGGAAGTGTCATATAAATAAATATAAAAGCTGTAAAATATACTCATAGGCATACCCATCTGGCCAAAAGCAAGGGCGAGTGTTTGGGAGGAAGCCTCCACACCCATCTTGTGCTTCCCACCACGAGAAGGACAAAGTCACCTGGCTATGACTCTGTGTCACAACAAAAGTACAGTCATGTTTAGATACCGCAGTGAGCAGACGGGATCTTGGAGAAAGTCATTAGTCATAACGAAAGGTCCAGACACCTCACTGACAGCGCAACGCCGTTTCTCCGTCAGCCACACACTGAGCTTTCGTGCCACCATATCTTCTAGATGACATTTCCCGCTGAGCAGCAGACTCCTGTGGCTGGGCTCTGTCTGTGTGTGCAGGTGGGCAAGGGAGGAAAAAAAATGAGTGTTTTCCCTGGAGTTTTCCTTCTCCATTTTTTCCCCAATGCAGCATTAGAACAACTATTTTAGAAATTATGGTTTTCTGCAGGAGCACATGGATATTTACTGCTAGTAGAACATTAAAATACCTTTGGGCTTACTAGCTAGCAACCCCCAAACCCTGACTCTTCTCCCACAAATACTCTTCTTCCCCTGGACAATATAAATTATCTATTTTCTCTTTCTCCTACCTATTCTCTCTTTCACACAACCTATTTGAAGTCGTGTGAGAGACAGCCACGGGGAGTTAGCTTCAAAATCTGTGCGCTAAGACTATTCCAGCCTGTTTATTTAGCAACGTGCCCCAAATCCTTAGCTGCAAGCAGCTCGGTGGCAGTTGACTGTTCACACTGTGTTTATGGGAGCTGTCTGTAAAACACAACCGTACCACCCCGGCTCCTGACAAACGCCGTGGGGATCGGGGTTCCCGACAGCCAACCCCGCGTAACCCGGCCCGGCTGCTTTGTGCAACCACGGTGTTGGCATCGTCCCACAGCGAGCTGTGCCCTGAGGAACATCTAAAGGATGCTTCCCACACCCCGGGGAGGCTGGATCTGGAGCCAGCACCCTCCAGCCGGTGCCGTAAAAGGTCCGGCTCTTGGCCAGAAGCCACCGGCCATGCCCAGGGGTGATTCAGAAGGACCAGCCCTGGTAGCTGAGTGGCAACCAGGCAGCAGCTTCCCTTTGAACTGCTCGACTGCTAAACGTCAGAAGCACTTGGCACAGCCCGGGGGGCCGTGCCCTGCTGCCATGAGAGTGCACGTTGGCGCTGGGGTGTGTTACGAGTGTGGGGGTGTGTTACGAGGGTGGGGGTGTGTTACCAGTGTGGGGGTGTGTTATGAGTGTACCGGTGTCGGGCTCTACAACAAAGCGTGAGAGGTGAGGAGAGGTGAATGGCCCTGCCTTCCCCCAGTAGAACGTCAGCCAGCCACCCTCTGCCAGCTCTCAGACCTGCTCAGCTCCTTCCCATCTATCCAAGGAGGCCACCCAACACTCAGGACAGACCTAAGCAACGGACTCACAGTCCGAAATAACACAGAGGTAGAAAGACAAGCAGGTGTAGCCGATACACCTCGGTTGGTCTCCTCGCTGGCTTTATGGATGAACCTTTGCTCCTGCAAAGGCTCAGACCTGCTGAGCCTTGAGACGGGGAAGAATCATCCGCGTTGCTCTGTCTGCTCCTCACAGACTGAGGGACAGGGGAGTCTCCAAGCAGCAGAGGTTCTCCAGCAGTGCTGGAGGGAGGCACCTTCCCAAAGGAGGGTTAGTGAAGGCTAATTCACACCGGCCACTCTGCCAGTCCTCTCCCAGTTATGCCAAGGGCTTGTCCAGCCTCAGACCAAGACTGGAGTTTACCACAACCACCACCGCAGGAGCCCAGGTCCTGTCCCTGGCACCCTTTCAGAGATGCAGGCGGTTTCAAACAAAACAGCAGAAAACTCTTGCAACCAAGCAAAGCCCTGTCGGGGCTTGTCCTTTCGCATCAAATCTCTTGCTGAGCTCCACAACATTTCTGTGGCGCGTTCCATTTTCTGGGGTAACACAAACCAGACCCTCTGTGGAGGTTGGGTGTCCCCCGCAGCTAACCCGCTTGCAAATCTCTCCCGCAGGTGACAGAAGAGAGGGGCTCTCGCTTTCTGAAGCAGCGGGCAGTACACACCGGTAAGTTTGCCAGCCCTTTCCCCCCCTCCATCCCCAACACCTTTGTTTGCCCAAGGTTTTGCAATCGCTGCCGCCGCGGCATCCTGCTGGCAGCCTCCCACCCCCCTGCCCCCACTGCCCAAACCCTGCCCCAGCCAAACCAGCCGGGGCAGAGGGAGGAAAACCTGGGTGATAAGATGCAGGGAGATAACCGGGGCCATTTCTAACCCCAGGGCTGTGCAAAAATCGCTCCTTCCAGTGCAGGCACAGACCTCCCACCGGGATAACTCCCCAAATATGCAAAAGCATGGACTCGGGAGACCATGCTCACCACACCTCCCCTCCCTTCGCCCTCCAGGGATTTAAGACGTTGCCACAACGTGCCCTGTCGACACCACAGCAGGCCTGAAGCTATTTGCAAAGGGATTTTTGTTACCTCAGCAGCATCCCTAAGCAATCACAGCAAATAACTCCTGACCCAATGCATGCAGAAATGGGAAGGGGCTGCACACACTTCCTCCACGGCATCGATGTCGTGGTTTGGACAATCGATCACCGCTCACATCTCGTTGACTTGAATAGCAGCAAAGGTCCTTACATACTTTTTTTTTTCTTTCTTTTTTTTCCCCACAGTTACAGATACACTTTCCAGTGCAGAAAAGCCAAGAGCGCACCTGACAGGTAATGCTTGTTCACAAATGAAGCTTTTTCCGCGAGTATTACAGGTGGAGCAGTGCAATAATCTTGGTTTATATGGGTCTCATAGGCTCAGGTGTTGGAGGAAACATGGGGAAAATAATCATTAGCTTTGCCTTGTTGACCACAACATTTTTACTGCAACCTCTGTTTGTAGAAAAGGGACCGTGAAGGAGGTAGTTGACAGAAACATTTCTTCTTGGCAATTTTTCCAAGCTGTTTATTTCATGGAATGAGCACCTCTTGTAACTGAACTTAAATAGGTTCTTGGAATCTTAGCGATCTGCCGAGTCAGAGCCTAAGTGAGCCCTCACAGAGCAGTGAACTAGGAACAGCTCCACCCACCTGGAAAATTTAAGTGTTACCAGAAAAGAGGAAAAGGTTCATGGCTGGTCCCCATCTGAATGGGATTGAGTGTTGAAAGGCTCTCCAGCTGCTCTGGCCTAATGCAATTTAAACCTCTTAAAAATACAGCTCACTGCAGAGGCTTCCCAGCACCCTGTGTGTCATCCCAGGGGAGCAAGAAGCAGCGTGATGCTTCACACAAGCTCTTGTACAGCGCTAAAACAACCAGCGTGTCAGGGCTTATTTCTTTCCCAGCATAATTTGCTTTCCCTAATCCACAAAATCCTTCCTAATGCACTTCCTTGGCCCTATCCCCTTGTGCACAGGGGTTGCTAGAGCTCCAAAACTGACCTGTCCTTTTTCAAAATCTTATCTTTGCTTAAGCACAAGTTTGCAAGGGCACAAAAAGTACAGTGTCTGGTAGTGTCGGTCTCTCTGATTCCCCTCAGTCCCGCCGTGGCAGAGGGACCCAGGGGCTCCCAGTGCCTGACTCAGAAGAGCAGCCAAAGCAGAGCTCAGCTGATGGGAACTTCCCTGGGTTGCACAAAAGTCCATTTGCTGCAGGGAAACACCCAACAGTTTTCTTCAAATTTCCTCAGGCCCCCCATTTGCAAAAATGCCTTCACCATCATTCCTGAACAGTCTCCCCAGGATGGTGCCCATCCTCTTCAACCTGCAGTTTTGGGCCAGTCTTTGCTGGCCATAGAAAGGAGCATGGAAAGGAAAAAGCTATGGGGGTTTTATCCCTCCTTTTCTGTGCAAAAAGGCTACACCCAGGCTGCTGCACTACGTAGCCATCAGGGAACCTAATTTCCATGAACTTATCTTTGACCTTTTTTTTAGCCCAAACATACTTTTGGTGCTGCACCCTCTGGCAATGAGTTCTCAAGCTCAATGGTGCATCGCAGTCAGAAAATATTTCCTGTTATTTTAAATTTGCTGCATAATAATTTCTTGGGTGCCACCCTGGTCTTCTCAGAAACTGTGACTCGGGCAAAGAAAGTGAAAAAGGAATAATTGTGCTTCAGGTCTTTGTTACATTCCCCCACCTCGGGCACCTTTTCCTAAGTGAAGGTGGTAGACTACAAACTCGTACTTGTAGGAAATCTCTTCCCGATACCTATTCTCTCTCTTTTTCTAGTTTTAGGAACGTACATTCTGAAGGTGAAAGCAAAGGAGTGAGAGGGATGATAACTAGCCACAGCATTCCATGGGAATGCACCACTGAATTAACAGTACCAGAATGACTCAATGTTTTGGTCCCTGTTCCTTTATTATGAATTTTCCACCTGTTCTTGGCCTTTTTAACACATACTGAGCATTTTGAACTTATCCAAACTGGCATCAAGATCCCCTCTCCCAGGGTGGTTATAGCTGGTGAGGAATACTTAGCTAGGACTTTTCTCTCCTGTGCACTAAATTTGCTGCTGACTGTGCCATAGAATCATAGAATAGTTTGGGTTGGAAGGGACCTTAAAGATCATCCAGTTCCAGCCCCCTGCCCTGGGCAGGGACACCTCCCACTAGACCAGGTTGCTCAGAGCTCCATCCAACCTGGCCTCGAACACCTCCAGGGATGGGGCCATGCCATCATCCCTTCCTCTCTGACTTATTTGGTTGCACTTTGGGTCAAGATGCAGATGAATGCCTACTCCTGTGGCATGGACAGATGGACAATGTAGCAGAAACCCCATCAAGGACCTGGTTAGCACTTACCATGCTGCAAAGGTATCTGAGCGCTCTGCTAAAACTGGGTAGGACATCACTTTCTGGTTCCACTTGATTGTTAGAAGTAACGAGCTTTTAAGGGCAGTCATTAAACTCCCGGGGCACAATCTTGAGCTACAGAGACCCTGCAGCCATGGGACTTTGCAGTAGATGCTGTACAAGAGCTTTTCCTGCAACAGGAGACTCAGACTCTAATCTCTGGCTGAGACCAGGAGTGGGGCCTCAGACCACAGTGTTCAGTATCAGGCTCCCACACCGGTGAGGGTTAAGAATTGTAGAAACCCCACAAGTTTAGCAATACGCCACAAAATGTACCCAAAAGCTGCCAAGCAACAGAGATTCTACAGCCAGTGACCAAAGCAAAAAGAATTTGGGGAAAGGAGGAGTGATTTCACATGTAAGGGATGCCAAAAACTTAGAGTGGACTGGAAAGTTGAAGGGTCTGTTGCAATGATCACTTATTAAAAGCAGATTTTATTTACTTCAAGAGTTAGTATAATAGGTACATTTTCAGGAAGTATAGCTCCATAATAAAAATAAATAAATGACATGTACAAACTACAACTACTGCTAGAAAAGGAGCTGAATTGCATTCGATGGCACTTGAACATGAATTTTTCCTCTTGACTGGTATTGAAAGCGTGGGGAAAATTAATTAACTTGAAAGTAGAGAGCATCATTAGAGCAAGCTTCATCCTAAAAGGGAGGCTATAGCTGTAAAACTTGGAGTTGCCTAATTCTAGGAGTTATGAAATCATGTACTTCATTTGAGATGCCTGTTAGTTATAAAAAACATTGAAAAATTGAGTGTCACTGACATTTTAAGTGCGTCATTGTATATGGAAAAGAATATTTCACATGCAGCTTCCCTCCAATTTCCCCCCAAAATTCCCAAGATGGAAAAGAGCCCAGAACATGTTCTGGAAATATTCCGATCTTTTCTGATGCTTTCAGTCTCAAACAAGATTTCGTCTACTACCAGCTGATTTCCAAGAAGTATTAATCCAAGCTCTTGTAACCTCAGTGTGACCCAAATGATACTTTAGTTTTATGCCCAAGAAGTAGATGAGGGTGAAGGCAGACCATGAGTCCTTTCACTTTCTTTTATCGTCCTCTCTCTGTATCAGGCAAAGTTCCATTGGCTCTGAGCCTCATCATCCTTATAATACTTCTATAATTCAGCTTGGCTTGCTATCACAATCCCTGTTTATTGTTCTTGCATGGAGAACCGAAATACTCTCCTCATGCACTTTGCCTCCTGGGGAAAGATCAGAAAGATGTGACACTTCAGCAGCACTGACAGGCAGGCTGAAAAAAAGCCATTATTTTGTTGTGCTACTTGGCGAATATGCAAGAAATCGCACTCCTAACACCTTCTTGTCTCCTTAAGGATTATTTATTGTTAGAAAAGAGAGGGAAATAGCTTCCGCTGTGAGCTGGGCACATTAGTTTTTTCTGAACCTCATTTCACCCAGGATAAACTTAATGGTTATTGCCAAGAGAGTTTCAAAGCTTTCCTTTACCTTCATTCAGTTTGCCTTCCTGCCTGTGCACACACCCCCGTTCCCCGAATTCGCAATCATAATCAACCTTGAACATTAACTCAAGCTCATGAAAACAGTCTTATTTCCTGGAAATCGGTTGCCTTAATCTCTCTTAGAATTTAACATCAACATTCCAGGTGCATTTTAATACCTGGCAGAATCTTGATGGTTTTTATCTTCTTCCGTTCCACTGCCTCAGCTGCTGTTTTACCACAATGATATTACGTGGCAGTCAGGAAAGAGCAGAGAAACCCCTTTTGCTTCCCTGTAGAAAAATGTCTAACTACTAGGGCTTGTTCTCCTGGCTGTCCTGTGAGAGAAATTACAATGGTGGAGGAGAGACCAAGGGAATAGGGCAGCATTCCCTGGTTCTTCTCCTGAGACCCACGCAGCCTGGGGAGCATCCTTGGCTTGGCTCAGACTGGTCTGGATTGGAGCTCTGCTTGTAATCAGGCAGCTGCAAAAGTGGGGAAAAAAGGTCTGGAGGAAAGCTGAGGCTAACACTAAGCTTAGTGTTTTGTTCCAGCAAAGCATTTTGAAAAAAAATTGAGATAAATATGGTTTTGAATGTAATGTGTTGCTTTGGAATCAGGCCTCTGGAAACACAGTGGGGTCTTCTGAGTTTTTTGGTGAAATCAAATAACATTTGTAAACTAAAGGCAATTCTACAGCAAAAGATTTCATTGCGAACACCGAGGGAGAAAAGCTTTACAGAGGGGCTAATAAACCCTAACGTCCTCCAGAAGGAACTTGGCAGGAAGAGAAGTTCAAGTGTCTCAGTGCCTGGCGATAGATCATGCTGATCATTGTGAAACTTTTGCAAGGACAGTAGCGTCTGTCTAAGAAACACAATTGCAATCCATCCCTATGATGCTTTAGTATTTCTTATCCCTGTCCCGAACCATTAGGTATGGGCACGGTACCCGTGTGTGCAACTGCCCCAGCACTGGTTTCACTTAAGAACAAGGTATTTACTCTGTAAGTAGGTAAGATAAGCACCCCAGGCCTGCAGGGTAAAGCTCCACAGAGCCATGAGACTCAGCCTTTGAGAAGGACAGTCTCATCATGCAGGATCTGGCCCACAACCAGGACATCCAGTCTCAGCATATCCCTTCAGGCCACCCGGGCTGGCCGAGGTCTTCCAAAAGCATCCTTGGCTTTCACTGCCGTTTGCTCAAATCTGAACACCCTCTGGACGCCGTCCAAAAGCACCACTGGACAGTTGGCCTGCAGCCAATTCACCTCAGTTTTCAAGCTGTAAAATAAGAACACTTCTGTCCCAGCATTTTGCTTACCCTATTTAAATTGCTTGCCCTTTGGAGGATCTCAGATGGCATTCAGCAGGGTATCCCTGGCTGTAATGAACTAACCTACCTCTACTCCCTCTCTCTTCCTCCCGCAGTGAAGAAACAAGACTTTGCCAACACCGTGGGAAACCATCTGCCCATCCTGCAGTGGGAAGACAAGCGAGGATTGGCCTTTACCAAGAACAACCTGAGTTATTCCAGCAACGCACTGGTGATACCTGTGTCTGGGGACTACTATGTCTACGCTCAGGTCACTTTCCGAGGGCCCATTGAAGGGTCCAGTAAAACAAATTCTGTCACTGAGATCATCACCAAAGTGACTGAAAGTTACCCCGAGCCCACCCAGCTGCTGACGGGCACCAAGACCCTCAGTGAAAAGGGAAACAGCTGGTTCCAGCCCATTTACCTGGGCGCTGTGGTCTCCTTAGAAGCAGGAGACAAGCTAATGGTCAACGTTAGCGACATCAAGCTGGTGGATTACACCAAGGAGCACAAAACTTTCTTTGGTGCCTTTTTACTGTAGGTCCCTGGCAGCAGCTGGTGGGGGCTTCCCTTCAGGGCCCTGGTGGGACCTCGCTGGACCTTGGCTTTGTGGGCACGCATCGGGGTGCAATCTCTGTGCTGTCATCCTTCTTCTGTACTGTCACTCGCCTGCAGCTCCCTGCAGCCTTAAATTAAGGGGCAGGGAAAGCTGAAGCCAAACAAACTAAAAAATCCAACAAAACCAAACCCAAAAGAAACAGAAAAATGAAAGTCAAATTGGAGGAAAAAGTACATTTTTGAAAGTGAAAACTGAGAACTCTTCAAAACCATGTAAGCCAAAGAGGAACAGTTTATACCTGTGGGTAGGAATATTGATGTTGAATATTGCAGCTAGGTTACATCTCTAATTCCACCTTGAATGTACAATTTCCTCAACTCAAAAAAGTGTTTTGAACTTTCTCCAGCACTTCCAGTATAGTTTTGCATGACCCTTCTTCAGATTCTCAGTTCTAAAAGGTAATTACTTTTCATCATTTCCTTACAAATAGATCTGCTCAGTACTTTGCACTAATATAAAACTCAGATTAACTCAGATTAACTGCTTAATTAACCCCTCCCAACTTCCTTGTAAAGTAGATTAAAATTCTATCTTGTGTTGTGCAGAATCTATTTGAAATTTTTTTTTCCCTAAGAAATTGTTTATAGTTCTTTAAGTCATTATACAGCCTTAAAACTTTATGCAGAATTTCTAGGGAACACGCACAAACACTTTCTGTTTCGGCACGAAAGGGGAATCTCCCCACCAGGTCCTAACATTAGGAAAACAGAAAAGACAGAGACAGACTTGCAACAAAATTTTCCACACTTTTTAAATCAACCACTGAAATTTTGAGAGAAACCCTCTGCAATATTTTGCTTTCCATTGTGTTTCATACAAAGCAAGTGCAGCTAAAGAAACCACTGTCTTGGTGCTCCCCATTGCAACCATTGTCAATGATGCAGGGGTCCCCTAACCGCAAGGGACTCCCAGCCTTTCCCTGGGGGAGAGCTCACAACCAGTATTCCCTCCACAAGGTCAAAAGATCCAAAACCACGATCGTAGCGTGCCATGGCCAGGTGCAGAGCCCAGGAATGTCTAGCTGCTCACCTTGCACTTATTTATTTTCATAGACCTTGTTGACTCTCAGGGAAATTCCCCAGCTTTTCTTCTTCTCCTGCAATAAATACTTCACTGACAATGGCTCAAGTCACATTCTCATAAACTTGGACTTTAGAGTCTTAACTGCCAGGTCTCACACCTACCACCCAACCCTTCTGCAATGAGCAGGCTTCACCCTCTGCAATTCTTTCTTTTTCCTACCCCAACTCATCGGACTTCCTCTAGTTTCTACTTCTTGGCAAGAAGTCACTTCCAAAGCTCAATTGTCTCATTAATGAGTTAATGTTTCCACTCAAAGCCACCATGGGGCACAAAAGCACACTGTTAGTGTCAGGGAGGCACTGAGGTTGGGGAATACATAGCACCAGGGATGGGGGGTTGTAGCTAAAGAGCTCAAATGGGCAAAGAAGTTCTTTGGTGGAGACAGCCTAGCTACAAAAGACCATGTGTGATATTGCAGCCCAACTAGCAGTGAGACCAGGCTGCTTTGTCCACAGTGAGGCTCTGCCAAGTGGGAGACAATTTCTTGCTATATAAAGATCTGTTTGAGCTGACAAGGAAAAGTTAGTAGCACAGCTGAAGTGTAGAGCATAGAGAAAGGCCAAGGCAGATTGGGTGTGAAGGGAGGAGAGGAGCAGAGTAGGAGGTGGGAGATCCAGGCAACACCAGGTTCTCTGCCTCTTCATGGCTTTCATGCTGACAGCATTGTACTTCTTAAACCTAGCAGGTCTTTTATGTAGTAAATCATCTCAGAAAAGAAGGCTTTCTGGCCATCCTTCCCCATTCTGCAGTGCCTGGGTCCTATAGTAGGTCTCAGTCCCTCACTGTTGTATCTACACTGAGACAGCATTAAACACATGCCAAAAGCTAAGAGATTGCCCTCTTTCCCTCCTCTTCTTTCTTCAGCAGGTGTCTTTCTTGCTTCCAGATTCTCCTTGAGTCTAGTCATTGGGTGTTGGCCCACTATATAACACTGCCCATCTAGGAGACCTTGACAGTGTTCCTGCACCAAAACCTCATTACACTTTGGCTTCCCATCCTGTCTTTGACTTGTCCTTCATTTTCCCCACATCCACATCTCAGCTGTCCTCTTTGTCCTTTTTTCCCACGGGCACCTTCCTGCCTTCTTGGCCCTGTCCATTAGGTACAAGGACATCTTTTTGTCCACATCTAATTTTCTACACAAAACTTCTCTCTTTCAGTCACCCCACTGCACAGAGAAAACTGACATCAGAAAATAGGTTAGGATGGCAGAAAACAAAGGTAATGATCCTGCTAGCAGGTGCAAAAGCTTTGGCCAAAACATCCTCTTCTGTCTTTATTAGCTAGATTGACTTCCATCCTGAAGTCTTTACTCCTGTGTTTCTTCAGCCTTTACTTTCAAGCTGAGACAGGAGCAGTTAATCCCCACATCTCAGTACCTAGCACACGCAACCTTGCCTCATTTCTTCTCAGAAAGGGCGTCTGGTCATTCAGCATGTTGGAAGGGCTGTTCTTACTGCTGAGAAACCCCCTCCACCAAGGTGAAACCTGGTGAAATCTCGCTCTCTTGGCAGTTCAAGACAAGGGTATTCTCTGGGAAACCCTAAGACTTTCCATATCTCAGCTTTTCTAAAGTGTTCTCTCAACACTTTCAGTCCTGAGCTTCTGATCCCTTAGTTGTGTGCTCAAAACAGGATCTGAGCTCATGAAAACATGAAGCTAGCAACTCTTGCAGATCACCACATCGAGCACTTTAGGTGACTAGCACTCAAAACAATGTGGCAAATCTCATAAAGGGAAGACTTAAAAGTGACCTGTCCAGAACAGGTGGTTCTCAGCAACTAAGTAGGAAAGCTTCTGTGAAGTGTTACATAGGATGAATTTGGTTTATCCTTTGATAAAATTAGAGTGCAAATTCTGGCTGTTTTGAGACAGTTACAGAAATTCAGAAAGCTCTTTATTTCTACAAATGAGATTATGTAGCTTTCTTCTGAGGCCATAACTCGATCCTGATAGCCTTATGCAGCAGATTTCCATAAAAACTCTATCTCAAGTCATCATCACTTAATGCCTGGTGCGCTTAATGATAGTAAATATGAGGTCTGAGATAGAGGAGTGGTGAATGCAGCATTTGGCATACAATGAATCAATCTTTTATGGGATATATACATATATATACATAGACATACATGTATTTTTGTGTATATTCCATAGAAATTCTGGGAAACCCATGGCAATAATGAGCCTTATATACCACAAGGCACATAATTTGTATCCACTGTACACTAACAATAAAGGTCACAAGCAAAAAATTGCCTGCTGCCGCTCCATTGCAGGTCTGACTCTCTCAATCCATTATCCATAGCACAAAAATATTTATTTTAGTCTAGTTAGGGCAAGCTTTTGCATGCCATTACACACACCAGGTTTTAGAACGTTTAGTACATTTAGCACAGTTTGTATGACATACAGTAATATACCTGGCATTACTTGTTTTAAAGTGGTGTAGGCATATTAATCCATACATCTATCCTAGTGGAAATTCTCTCTTTCTCCCTTTTTTCCCCCTCTCAGTGCTAATAATGCTCCTGTAACAGTGACCAGCAAATACAATAAGTATTCAGGGACTCATTCTGCCCCTGTTATACATCAGATATTCCTCCACAGAAGTCAATGGCATGAAATCAGAGTAAAGCCACTTAAGTGAGACAGAGGTCAAGCTTAAAGAGAAATACCTCAAACAGACTGACCCCAAGCCGTGGATTTGCAGATTTTTCTAAAGAAAAACAAGGGCAGAAGTGTTCTCAGAAATTTGTTTTTATTGAATTAGAAAAATTTCTTTAATGTAAATAATTTCTGGACAAGTGAAAATACATAGACATCAGCATTTTCAGTTGAATAGGAAGATGATGAAATCTGGTCATGTGAACTAGTGACCTTTCAGTGTGTGGTCAAACTGAAAATGTGTTTTGTTTTGGGTGGATGTGAAACTAAAACAGTTATAAAAAAAAATCCAGGCTGGAGAAAAGGGTGAAATAGACAGCTTATGTTAAATGAGCTCAAAGGTATATGATTTTAGGTTTCGACCCTTGCTTTTCTTAGAAAAAAATAAAAATAAAAAAAAAAAAATTAAGTACTTTTCAGAACAAAAAAAAAAAAAAAAAAAAGTACTTTTCAGAACAAAACCATTAAAAGAAAAAGTAACAGATTATTTATTTTTTTAATACAAACTCTGATCGAAATATTTTAGTTCTTAGGAATTCACTTCTTCCCTAATCTCTTTGCTCCCCCCAAAAACTAACACTAAATACAATCTAACTTCATAGAAAGGTTCACTTACCTACCACTTCCTTTCCCCTTTGAAACTAAGTATTGGTAAATAAGCATTAACTTTCTCACTGTATACATACAGAAGTAAACGTAAATCAAGCTATAAGGATCACGGCTCCAATCTTACCAACATACACTTGAGCTGGGCTTAGTCCTGAGCGTGTGGCTAAAAGGGCATACACTTGAGCTGGGCTTAGTCCTGAGCGCGTGGCTAAAGGGTGTCATTGTAAAAGCCAGCTCCGTTTTCCTATTTGGTGTATGGGAGGGATAAAATCTCCATTGCTCAAATTAAAAGCGGATAAAACATTTTACCTGCGTTTACACTCAACTACATCATTTTAGGAGCAAACCCTCCAAATTGAGGGGCGCTCACAGGGACCGTCTCCAGCACGTGTATGTTGGCAGGAGCAGGGTCTAGAGGTGTGAAGTTGAAGGTGGTGCTCCTTAGCACAACATAACCCAAGGGATGAAAAGGCTGGTGCTAAGGTGATTTTGGCCATAACAGCTCAGTGGATATTGGGATGGGACTCCCGGTACGCAGGGACTTCATCAGGATATGCTGAGCTGCAGCACAGACCCAGTGGAATGGATCAAGGCCATTTTCAACAAAAATATTTCAGAATTGTGAGGGCATCTCCTTTTACACCTCTGTACAATACAACTGACCGCGCTGTGCTTTGTTTCATTAACGTCCTGAGTGGCCCATCATTTCAGATGAGAAATGAGGAGAAAATTCATTCTTTAGAAGAATCAGAAAATGTCAAGAGTTTTTGCCCAGATCTGGGTATTAGACACCAGTATAGCATTTTGCTATTGTAAGGAATTTTATATAAATGATTGTATATTGTCTTGTGCTTCAATGCTGATGTGTGTCTTTGCCAGTTGAACTGACCTAGCTTCTTGTTTCCAATGTTTATTTATGATAATAAAAATGCGAGTTAACTAATGCGATAACTTCTGATCTTGGTCCCTTTCCAAAAACACTAACCAAAGAGCACACTTAAGAGTGATCGGCTAATACAGCCAGATAATGCTGATGTGTAACAAACCTATTTTGTTGTGTGTTAAAGTGTGAATGACCCTTATTCTATGGACGGTTAGAGGTCCCTCACCAGAGTGAACTTGGATTCAGACTTTCCCCCAGGCTCTTATAGAGACTTGAATTTCAAAAAGCAAAAATGTAAAGGGCGAGCGGTTTTACTTTTTCAGTCCCTTTTCCTGTTTGCAGCGTGGGGAACATCTGGTTCCCTCTTTTTGTTATGTCCTAGCCTATTTTGAAAAAGAAAGTCCTACAGAAAAGCAGTGCTCATCAGAAACTGCCTCGTAACCGTACTCTCAGACTGCTGAGTCGGGGAGCGGGACTCCCCGCTGGGCACCCAAGGGAGACAGGAGCCACCTTACACCACGTATGAATCATTCTTTGAAAATCACGGGTTTGCCCTATCTACACCCATACATCAGAGTGCCTTGGCAGCTTGGGAATCGAATGCTTCCAATTGCTCAGCTCTGGGCTTCCAGGCACAAGCCAACGAGGAAATTTTGGCCAAATGAGGGTCAGAGCCTTGTTTGAAAGCAGCGGAGCCCTGGGCACCCTTAGCCCTGTTCTAGCTGGAGCTTGGCTCTCCTCACACTTTCAGCATAATAGCAGCATCCACTGGATATGTCTTTCTTATCCCGGGGGGTGCTGTCTTCAATTCCTCTGCTGCCAAGAATGCAGAAGCTTTCTTTCCACTACCAGAGCTGAGAATCAGTCTCCCATGGAGCATGCTATTTTGCATTTCTAAAATCGCTTTTGTTTTCCTGGCTTGAACTCAAAGTATCATATTTAAATTGCTTGAGAAAAGGTTTCTGGTTAAGGGCTCTATGTTCTTCCTCAAAGAAGATTTTCACTAGAAACCTCTGATGGGGGACATATGTTTACTCTGGCTTCCATCCACTTGCAAATACCTGAGATGTTTTCTTAGCAACCTCTGTAGATCAGCCAAGAGTTAATTGGACAGCAGGAATCACACTGCTTTTTCTTAAAACACAAAAAGATGCTGGGTTTTTTGGTTTGGTTTTTAGATCCAATAACTACCTCATGTTTAACAGAATACCAAAAACAAATTATAATTTTATTATTATTGTTTTCTATTTTAATTTGAGCTAAGCAGAATTCACTTGTTTTATTGCCATTTTACTCCGTGCTTTGCACATATAAGATAATACCTTGAGTTAACATCTTATTTGTGGTCTAAATACACTGGCACATGCATTCCCTCCACATAAGCATTGTGCTTCATTTTGTCTACCTTTAATCATACAGAAGGTGTCTATTCTCAATAAAATTCTAGGCTCCCTTTCTAGTGACGTAGGGGGAAGAGATGCATGTTTCTGGAGGGCTGCACATGCGAGGGAAGGTGGGGATAATGGAGGTGCTTCTCTCCTAGGGCTGCAGAGGGCTGTATATAATATTATTCTAGCTAAAGGCAAATAAGTTAATAGCAGCACTCAGTGAAAGTGAGCTGCACTGCACTCACTTTCTCAGACGGCTGGATAAAGCTGCCCAGCTACTGACTGAGCAGAATCCCCATATTTGTTTAGTGTTGACAAATATGTACATAGAATCAGAGAATTGCCTAGGTCAAAAGGGACCTTTCAGATCATCTAGTCCAACCATCAGCCTAACACTGACAAAGACCATCACACGGACGTGAATCTTGAGGGAAGGGAGAACCTCACTTTCATACGATGGAGTTGTTACTCCATGAAATCCATCCTGCAGAGTGGGACACCACCCATGAGACTTTAACCTCCCCAACTCTCATCTGTTGGCTAAGCTCCCCAACCACAGCTGGATCTGCTACTTGCCAGCTTTGATCCTACATAAAGACACTTTTTTCCCTTGTCCCTCTTGACTTGGGGACAAATTCAGTGTCACAGTTAATATGTCCAGCTTTTGGGAAGAGCTTTGAGTTCACTCTGGCAGGGCACGGAGACTTTGTCTCCTAAGCATCTTGCAGGAGGGAGCATGGGCTGAGATGAAGTGGAAATGGTCTGCACTCACAGCAAGGTCCTGTGCTATAAGAATTTCAGCTCACGGACAGGCAGCTGAGTAAGGGATGTGTTTTTTAACACACTCAGCATCTGTCAGACAGGTTCTCAAAGGAAATGAGAACAACTCCACCGCTTACTTTGTTTTTGAGACCTGGTGCCAAATCTAGGTACGAGATTCTCTTCAAAAGGGCAAAAACAGCAGCCAAGTTTGTCAACAGTGACAGTTCCAAACTCGTTTTGCCTTATAAGTATTATTGCTAAATCCTTTGGAACAGCATGAAAGGCATTGCCTGAAAAGTTATAACCTCTTTTATTAAGGGCCATAAGTCAGGAGTGTTTGGTTTTTTGCTGAATTATGAACTAAACTAGCTTTCCAGATGCCCTCGTTCTTGCACAAATCAAGATATGTTCTTTCATTGATTGTAGAGTTTTATATTAAGATGTCAAAAAGGCATTGAAAATATTTGCTGCATATTTATTGGTACTGTATATATAGATGTCTTAATTTTATGTATGAGAAATTGTAAAATTCACAGTATAAAGTTTAGATCTATTATACTTAACAGCTATTTCTTTGAGAAAATAGCTTTGATGCCTTCTGACAATGAAGTTTATAAATAGGTCTTTAAAACATGCTTTGTGTCTTAAAGCAAAATAAAAGTGATTCATTTGATTCATACGTATTCCCGAGTCTTTCTTTATTCTAATAAGCACCCACCAAGTGCTCATATTTTCAGTTGGAAGGACAGACATTTAGCTGAGCCAAAGCAGTAAGTGTGCCATATATTGCATCTCATGTAGGTTTTCTTAGGTGTGTAGGTTGGTTGTTTTTTTGTACAAGCTATTAATCAGATACAGAATACACATGCAGAAAATTATTAATCCAAACATTTCAAGAACAGTGAAATTAAGCACTACTCATCTGATGACGTTTCAGACATTATCACAAGCCTTTATTTTACAGGCTTTAATTAGAGAGTTTCTCTCCAGTGGCATATAATTGAGTACTGGGGCCATAATTTTCAATTCTACACAGATTGAGTTCTTTTTCTCTAGATGTAGCTGAATCCCACCTTCATTTTTAAGGGTACTTAACTCCCACTGATAGCATCACCCCAAAAAAACAAACAAAAAAAAAACCAATCAGTGCATCCCAAAGACAAGGTACTGTGCTTTAGAATGACAAGTTCCTATTTAACTGCTTTCTGCTCAACAACAAGATTATTTAGTAAAACCTCACTGCATTTTGACATTTCTTTAGAATTTCAAAACAGTGGAGCAGAACAGCATGTATGACTCAGAAATTAGGACTTTGTGTGGATTAACTAAGTTCCTAATTCTCCCAGTAGGATCCCTAGACGGGTCTTCTGAAGCCTAACAGAGATGGGTCAGCTCTCCCCCAGGGGCCATCTCCTTTTCTCTGTTAATTCCAGAAACTTAGAAACTTTTCAGAGCAGGTGAGATGAAACAGCAGGAATCACACCCTGAACTTTTTTCCCAAGCTGAACAAGTGCCCGTTTGTGTCAGCAGCTCTGGTTGTGGCCCCCAGGAAACACAGTTCAGTATTTCCCTGAATCAGAGCATGAAGTTGGCTACTGCACCAGCAGTCAACATGACAGCAATGCATCTGGCTTTCCCCCTTCTCTCCCTGCCTTATTTGATGGGAATAAACTCATTAATTAAACATGAGCGTGCTGTCCTATATGCCAGGAGGGGAAGAGGTTCATCATTC